TAACAGGTGCGACCCGGCCGGGCGCGGTGCCGTCACAGCGCTCCGACGGCCTGCCATTGGCTGCCCGCTGTTGGCCCCGCCTCCCGCCCCGCCCGGTGCCGGGGGGTCCGTCCAGTGAGGGCGGCGGGGGAACGGCCTTTCCTTCACCCCGCAACGGCTGAGGGTGCCGCCGCCGCCCGGCCCCTGACACCCGCACCCTGTCTGCCCGCGTCACGGCGCGGCCTGGGGCTGGAGAAAGGCCAGCTGAGGGACGGCGTGACCTCCCGCAGCCGGTGGCACCGCACGGGGCTCCCTCCGGCAGCCCCACGGGCCCGCAGTCCCAACCCCAGCGCGCCAGCCCAGCCTGCCCTTGCTGCTGGGGGCACCGGCTGCGAAGCTTTGCAGATCCCCGTGGCTTCCCACCGAGGCGCTGTGCAACGAGAGGCTGCTGGGATGTGGGTGGCACAGGCCTGGGGACACGGGCTGGGCTGCCCCAGGTAGGCCAGGAAGGGGCCGGGAGCCAGAGCTCCGATACTCTACAAATCCCCGTATTCACCTATTCTGGCACCAGAGAAGCTGCTCTTGATGTAGAGGGCCAATGCCACGGTCTTACGATGTCAAGTTTGTCAATAAGTGTATCAGCTATTAATGCCTACAAGTATCTCAAGGGTGGGCTGAGGGAGGAGGGAACCAGGCTCTTTTCAGTAGTTGCCAGTGAGAGGACAAGGGGCAATGGGCACAAGTTGGAACATAAAGGGTGCCACTTGAATATGAGGAAGAACTTTTTCACGGTGGGGGTGACGGAGCCCTGGAACAGGCTGCCCAGGGAGGTTGTGGAGTCCCCTTCTCTGGAGATTTTCAAGCCCCGCCTGGATGCAGTCCTGAGTAACATGCTCTGACAAGCTCTGAGTGGTCCTGCTTCGGCAGGGGAGTTGGACTAGATGATCTCTATGGTCCCTTCCAACTCTAAAATTCAGTGAAATTCAGTGAAAGCTAGGGCAACTCACGCTGCAGGTGACAGGAGTCAGCACCGCAGCGGGAGACATAAGGATGGAGATGGGGCAGCCCCCATCCCTTCCGCCCGCTCCTTGGGCAGTTCCCTTTCCCTGGCAGCCTCACACTCTGCCTTACACTGCGTTTAGCTGTCGGTTAAAGCATTTTGTCCCAAACGACTTCTGGGTTTGCTGTGACACGTGAAATGAATCCTCTAAGATGTACTTTTTTCTCCCTTTCGTTACTGCCTATCTTTGAAGGACAACGCTTTGTGAGCAAGTTCTCTTCCTAACTGCTTCTTACAAATACATACAAACGTGCTTTTTCCATACTCTTCACACAGGACACAGAGATGACCAGGTACACAACACTGAGGTCTACTCCATTATAGGGTAGTGGAAAAAACAATAATGCTCTGAAAGATAATTTTCTACTGTCAGATGACTAAAGGCTATATATTTCGTGAAGCCCCTGTTTTGTCTCTAAGGAAACATTTTAAAATAAATAGTGTTTAAAAATACATACTATTTGAATAGTATTTTTCATTGTGCTGGTTTGTGGTGAAACAGGACCAATTTTCTGTTCGGTAACTTTATTTTCAGTTAAGCCTCTTCTAACTAAGTGAACTCTCTGAAATGAACAGCTTGTTGTCCAGACACTGTTCCCTCCCAGAGAGATAAGACCTGATTGTTTATAATTCATGCCAAGAAACAGCATGCAGAGAGGCCCTTGCTTATACTTACTGCTATAATAACCAAGGCCAGATGACTTTGTTGTTTGCCCCATTGGAGGGTCGGAAGCAGAAAAGCGGGGGGGTTGGAAGCAGAAAAGAGGGGTCGCATCTGTGGGGAGGAGCAGACAGGACAGGTGACCCCAAGCTAACCAACAGGATCCCAGCTGCCTCATGCTCAGTATAAAAGCTTTGGGATCAAACACCTCTCTTCCTTCAGTAGCTGGTGTCTGAGGAGGACTCTGCCTGTTCGTCCTTTGATCATGATCCAAACATTCCTGACTCCAGATCTGTAATCCAGTTCCCGTTCCTCACTGAGTCCAGGCTGGGACTTTCCCAGTGCCTGCCCATGACACGATCATCATCCTGGGAGCTTGATATAGTTTTGTATATATTGCATATATTTCATTATTTTCTTCTAATTATATTATCAATATTTCATTAAAGTAGTTTAGTTTCTTTTAAACTCATAAGTCTCTCTTTCTCCTCTCCCTGAAGGGAGATGCTCTCTCTTCTCTGAAGGGAGAGAGGTCAGAGACCATCTGTCGTTTGTTTCAGTGCCCAGTCCGGCCCAAACCATGACATTCATTTGTACTATTCAAGTTTGCACATTATTCATAGAATGTTTTAATTAATACACAGTAAAACTCCTAATTGAACTATATATTTAAAATAAGTATAAAATTAATATATCTGTAAATACACGTATATTAAGTATGTATTTTCACCTAATACAACCAGAATCTATATGCTTCCATAAATTTGCACTTTCCCTTTCAAGGAAGGGAACAAAGGCTTTTTGCTTTTAGAGCTTTGGTATTGAACAATCTTAAAAATAGTGCAATTTCAATACTACTTTTTCACAAAGTGCTCCTGACCTAGGACTCCTCACTCTCAAGGACAAATGTAGGTTTGATGGGCATTCAGCTGTCCTGCAGCCCTGCTCCCCCTTCCCATTAAGACCATCTAGTACGCTTGCCTCTGATGTAGGAGAGAGCAGGCCACACCATGCAAAACCAGAAGCATGAGATCATAAACATTTGGTCATGTAATTAAATTTAAATCTTGAACCAAAAGAAGGACTGTTACGTGGGAACTCCAGCATTTTCCAAGTTTATCTTCTTTCAGTCACTACTTTACATTACTTCACTCCCTTTCTCATGTTCCCAATATCACAGCTTGTGGGTGCCCAGTCAACCAGTGCACGTGAACTCCTTAGATACGTTTGGCAACCATCACTGTTTTAGCGTGGGCGAGGGTAGCCATTTGACCAAGGCTGGTATGTTCTCGAGGACATCTTTGTGTCTTTGGGGCGATATTTCACTATGGCCAATGAAGCCATAAACATCAAAGCTGTACTCTAGAGCCAAAGCTAGTAGGGCTGAGCACTGACGGGGTACTCTTGGTGTCCTTGCCAGGCCCTGTCCCGCACTTAGAATCATAGAATCATAGAATGGTTTGGGTTGGAAGGGACCTCAAAGATCATCGAGTTCCAACCCCCCTGCCATGGGCAGGGACACCTCCCACTAGAGCAGGTTGCTCAAGGCCACATCCAGCCTGTCCTTGAACACTTCCAGGGATGGGGCATCCACAGCTTCCCTGGGCAACCTGTTCCAGTGTCTCACCACCTTCATAGTAAAAAATTTCTTTCTGATATCTAATCTGAATCTTTTTTCTTCCAATTTAAAACCGTTTCCCCTTGTCCTATCATTACCCTTCCTGGCAAAGAGTCCCTCCCCAGCTCTTCTATAGGCTCCCTTCAGATATTGAAAGGCCGCTATAAGGTCTGCCCGGAGCCTTCTCTTCTCCAGGCTGAACAATCCCAGCTCCCTCAGCCTTTCAAATGACATAAAGGAGATGGAGTGTGTACGGAGTCTGAAGGGGAGCTGGTAGGATGTCCTCTGGTGTGGGGAAAGGAGTCTAACTGCCACTGCCTTGGGCAGCAGCCTCTACCATCAGATCAGCTATCCCCCCTGAAGCTGGAGTGGGGAGGGTCTCAGATCCCCTCCCTTCACAGCCTCCCAAGAGTCTCTGAACCTTTGCCATCACTTTTTAATAGCACTGGAGCATGTGGCAGCACCAGGGTGCTCCAGCACTCCCACAGCACAGCGACTGCCTCCCTTGTTCAAAGCTGTCTTCAGCATCCCCACGCTACGACGTGCAGCGTGAGGACAACCCGGCTCTTGCGATGAAGATGGTTTCTAGATCTCCAAGCTGCAAAGGATATTGAGACTGCGCGGGACGCTGACAGCTCAGAACCAGAGTGTTGACAGGAGGAGGAGGTGCATCCATTCAGCGCTGCAGGGTGAGGCTTCAGCTGCGAGCGTCAGATGCGACGCACAGATACTTGGCAGCAGCAACGGTGAGCAGAATGTTCTTATGGTCCAAAAATCCTTCCCGTGCTTTTGTAGAAAAGAAGAGCGTTAAATTGCCTGTTCCCCCAAACCTCAACCTCTTTCCATCACCACAAAACTCTGTAATTTAGTTCTGTAATCAGTACCAAACCCTGCAATGAAGAGCATTAATTGCGATGGCCAGAGGGAACAAATGTGCATTAATAATACAATTTTATTTTCCGCAGACTAAACCCACAGATCTTGTGGAGGTCTTGTCACTTGAGACCATTCGAATGTTCCACTTTAAGCATGTGTTTAAGTGGCTGCAAAAATGAATGCCTAAGCAGGCAGGAAAAACATTATACTACTGACTTTTTTTTCTTTTTTTTTTTTTAATTCTATATCAAGGTCAGTAGGTTGTTGTATTTTTCCACGTTTCTGGAGTATTCATCTATGAATCACATTCATATAACTTTACTATCCATTTTTCCCTATGGATTATGTAGCCATATTTTTGCCTAATGTGGATTTACTGAAAGAGCTCAGCTATTCCCTTGTGCCTCGGTGCAGAGTACAAGCCAATGTCATGGCCAGCCCAGACAATCCAGCAGCTCAAATTCCATTCCCATACCCTTAACCCTCCTATTTTCAAAGACATAGTGAAAAGATTAGCTGTGCGGGTCAGTCTAGTGCTCTTTAAGCGCGAAGGGGCATATGAATTTTGCTGTTGGCCAATTCCAAGCACACAAATGTGTTTTATTTCAATTTTAGCACGTGGTTATGTTGCCATATACAGAATAGAAAGCCAGAACAAAGAACTTTTCAAAGTGCTTTAAAGCAACTGAAAACAAGTTGATAACATCAAGTGCTACAGGGAGCTTAGCCTCCTTCTCTTCACCGGCTTGACTACCCTGAAAACACGTCCCATTATTCAACAGGAGGCATTGCTACTGTTACAAAGCTTTCTGTTAATGTTTTCAAAATCTTCCGTTTCAGTCCAAAATCTACTGTGCCATGTAAATTCCAAATCCTTACATGCAATTTATCAGCAGACAATAGATTAAATAAATTATTGAAATGGCTTCTGTGTCATCTGCATATTTTAAAGGTCACTTTGCTACTGATGAGAACCGCAGGATTCACTCTCACAGAGAGAAGCTAATCGCTCAACATTTCATGTAAGTATACTCAGACTCTTCCAAGCTGTTCATTACCATTTTTACCCTGACTGTAATGGAATTATTTAACATTTAAAACTATCAGACACACTCAATCACAAAGCTCTGCAGACATCATTGCATTTAAAACGCCGCTTCTTCAAGTGCAGTAGACCAGATAGTGGTGTTCATTTCCCATTTTACATCAAGACAGAAGAACACCGTGACTATCACAGCACTTTTTGCATTTCCTAAGTCCCTTGCAAACACTTAGATGTCTATCATATAATACACCCTTTGTGATATTGACTTCCCCCCCCTTTTTTCTGTCCCCGGCTCACAGCCTCAGTCTGGGTTCATATCAATATATTACCAGCTTCTCTCTCTCCCCTTTGTTTGCTCATTTATTTAAGCCAAGCCCTGGCATCTATGAGCCGCCTGTTTGACAACAGTGAGCTATTCAATACTTCATTTACACCACATGAGGGTGTTTCAAGCTGTGTAGGATGCCAGAGTTAATTTGGAAGTCCTCCTGTTTGGAAAGGAACCAAGGGGCAAACAGATACATTTTTTTCCACTGGCTGAAAATCTTACCCTGGCAACCTGGTAGGGGAGAGTTTGAAAGGACAGAGATAAAACATAATACGCTAGAAAAGAGATGGAAGAGGAGTTTTAAGGACATAATCTGATGTTCCCTGAAATCAAATAATCTTTGCTGGGGACTTCCCTCAGCTTTGTCTTGTCCTTAAGGAATCATTTTAAATATAACATAATTTCATATTATTTCCATTAAAATCTCCTTAGACAGGATTAAGTAATCATTATCCCTCTGCAGAGCTTTTTAGAAGCTTTCTGATGGCTTATTGCTCAAAGTTAATTGCAGAATCAGGAGGAATTATCTACTAACATGAACAATAAATAATACAAAACTTCTCCTTCATATACTGCTTCTGCAGTTTTAGTGTACACAGATCTTTCTAATGTTTGCCTGCTCTGATAAGTGATGGCTTTAAATCCAGCAAAGACTACGTGAGGTAACTAAATACCCCGTTCTGGTTAGCGGGTATGATTTCTGCACACAGCTTGTTAAAACAAACACATACATGAAAATGAAGCCGGAGCACTTCACGAGGCTTCCAGCACAGCTGCAACGGGGAAAATATCTCCCTGAAAGAGAAAACTCTGTGGCTCCGTATTAAGATGGGCTTTTTCTCCAGGAAATCCCAGGCAGCAAAGCCTATGACCAACAACTCTTGAGTCCAGCTCTGGGGTGGCCAGGCAGCCTGTGCTCTCCCACAGCCTGCTCCCAGGCACCACAATGGCTCCAGCACACCGTGCAAACTCTAGGGGTGCTTCTCAAACAAGCAAGCCAAGCTTAATTAACTTACAGGACCAAAAGGTGCCTTGTAGGAAAAGCCGCCTCGATACTGTTTAAAAAAGAGGCCTGATTCAGAGTGAGGCACAGGGTTTAAGGCTTGGTGGGACGGCTGTCAGGAATGCCAGGACCAGGGCGTCCTCTAAGCTCACAGCTGTCCCCTCCACTGTCAGAGGCTGAGGATGCCCGCCTGCTCCACACACCCCATGGCCTTGGGGCTGGCAATCACTGCCCTGCCCTGGTTAGCCAGGCCCAGCATCGCAGGCACGCAACTGGCAGCAGTACAGACTGCAGGACTGGGAAAAGTCACTCTGTCCACTGCAGCCCCCGGGCCCTACCACGGACTTCACAAGGCACGTTAGGAACTGAAAACAAATTTCTTGCTTTTATCCTTCCGCCCCGTCAACATTTGCTGTCTCCTCAGCAGCAGATGAAAACCACTTGCACATAAAACCACCTTGCTGCTTGGCTTTCCAGCCTGTTGCTTTCACAGTGGCGTAAGGCACATATTAAAGACCATACACAGCAGCCCCAGCTAATTTCACAGCATTACATTACACAGCGTTATAGGTGACCTCTGATTCTGACTCGGCTCTGCCTCACAGCTTTCAGTGTGTCACGTATTTCCATTTAGCAACAGAGGGCTCAAGCTTCTCTTAAAAAAATCTTTTCTGTACCCACACAGCAAGATTAAACACCTTCCTCTTACAGAAAAGCTTTCAGCTGACACTCCCATAGCCATCTTCAAGCATCTGATAATTTAAAATTTAATCATAGAATCATAGAACCATCTAGGTTGGAAAAGACCCTTGGGATCATCGAGTCCAACCATCTACCCTACTCTACAAAGTTCTCTCCTACACCATATCCCTCAACACCATATCTAAACGATTCTTGAACTCATCCAAGGATGGCAACTCAACCACCTCCCTGGGGAGCCTATTCCAGTGTCTGACCACTCTTTCTGTGAAGAATTTCTTCCCAATGTCCAGTCTAAACCTACCCTGTTGGAGCTTGAATCCATTCCCTCTTGTTCTATCGCTAATTACCCGGGAGAAGAGACCAGCCCCAACCTCTCTACAGTGTCCTTTCAAGTAGTTGTAGAGAGTGATGAGGTCTCCCCTCAGCCTCCTCTTCCTCTTACTAAACAGTCCCAGCTCCTTTAGCCACTCTTCATATGATTTGTTCTCCAGGTCCTTCACTAGTTTTGTTGCCCTCCTCTGCACTCGCTCCAGCACCTCCAGATCTCTCTTGTATTGAGGTGCCCAGAACTGGACACAATACTCGAGGTGTGGCCTCACCAGTGCTGAGTACAGGGGCACAATCACCTCCCTACTTCTGCTGGTCACACTATTTCTAATACAAGCCAGGATGCCATTGGCTTTCTTGGCCACCTGGGCACACTGCCGGCTCATATTCAGCCGCTTGTCAATTAGAACCCCCAAGTCCTTTTCCACCAGGCAGCTCCAGCCACACTTCCCTTTGGCCAAATCTTCCAGAATTCGGCCAAAATTCTTCCGGAACCCAAGTCCAAGATGAAAGATGTAAGCCCACGTTACCGGGGCGGTTGGTGCCAATAAAACAATGGCTTGAGAGGGGTTTGGAAAGCCGGGGGCTGGCAGGGCCCGTCGCTTCACCCCCGCACGCCCCCGACCCCGGCGGTACCGGAGGGGGCGACGGGCGGGACGGGACCGGTGGCCGCCGGCTGCGGTGCTGCAGCGCCACCTGCTGGTGAACAGGGGGAATGCGGCTGCGGCGCCCGCACCTGCTCCCCCCGCTGGGATGGGGGGGGCTGAGGAAGAGCCTCCCCCTCCCTCCGGGAGAAGCTGGAGATCCTTACATTGGAGATCCTTACAGTGATCCAGGTTTGTGGAAGCAGCAGCATCCGCGGGGGACGGACGGGTCAGGGAGCGGGACAAAGCTCCTGGTTGCTGTCGTTGCGTTGGAAATCACACCAGGGCTGAGAGCTTCTCAAGGCACACCACAAAACGTGCCAGAGAGAACATCTCTCACCTGGAGGCAACCGAGGGGGTTAAAATATCTCAGCTGATAAAATAACTCCTCTTTGACAGGTATGCTATGGACAGTCATCCTCATCTAATGACAAGGAAAGAACTCCTGGCTCTCCGCGTCCCTTACAATATGCTATCTAGCTTTTTTTTTTTATAATTTCTTTTTTTAAGAACACAAGCTGCCTTCTTTTGCAGTGACTGATAGCATGACAAAAGTTAAACTACTTTGCTTCTGCAAACCCATACGGACAAGAAACGCTCAAATTAATATTGAGCCTTCCACGCATGTAAAGTCTGTATAGTTTTGTAGGAACGAGTGTTTTCTGTTCAGCACAGGTGTTCCCTTAGTGATGGATTTAGAACTGCTTGTTGCTAAAAGGTAAATAATACAACAGAATACTTTAAAAGGGTCTGACCGATTCTTCTTTCCAGTAAGTCCTTCATTCATGCAAACTCCTAGGAAATAGAGTGCTCTGAACCCTGATACCCATCGACCAGTGTTTAGCAATAAGTAAAGCAAATCCCATTCCTAAATCAGAATACCAATTTTAAGCTTGACATGATTGAATTTTAGTTGATTTCCACTAATTACAGAAATACCGTTGTGGTAACAATACATTTTCAAACAAGCGTGGAGGGACAGTTTCTTGGCTGGCTGAAGGTAAAATAAGACCACACTGCTGCCAAAAGCCGTGCTCCTGCTGCAGCTCTCGTGCCTTGTATTAGTGACCACACAGCTGCTGACCTGCCTAAGCAGTAATTATTGTTTCAAAGGCGCTTCCAAAAGGACTGGCATTTTCCATTATCTTTAGGGTCTTTATTCACTTCAGTCCTTAAGTCTCTGGTCCTCAGGCGGTTTGTACATGAATCCAAAGTTGACTTGTTCCCGTGACTTCGCCAACGGCAACTGAATTTTCTTCATGAACACATCCACCAGGCCCACACTGTGCCCTTTCATCTTACCAGCCCCTCCCCGTGATCCTGTGCTGCAACCCCGGTGATGACAGATGCAGGGTATTTTCTTCTGTGTAAGGTGCTGATAAATTTTGTTTGGTGTCACAGTGATAGGAAATTACATATTGGGTCATATTAGTCAAGATGTGTATAGTAAAAAATATTCGTTGTAAGAACGGCTCCTGCAGGTATGAAAAACCTTACATTAAGTGAACCTTTCCCGTGTAATTGTGGCATCCATACGGCAGAGCAGTCCTCTCTATACACTCAGTAAAACAAAAAGCTTCAACACTCTTCAGGCAGGCTGGCGGAGTGATGTGTTAATCTGCTCCCATTAACAAGACAGCAAATTCCCAGTTGATCACCCCATTCAAATTAAGTACGTGTAATCTCCTGGTGACACTCACAATGGTGTTAGCGTAATGCATACATAGAGACAGACAGGATGAAGTAAATGTCCTCAGGAGTGCTCAGCTTCCAACATTAATGTCATTTTAGGCTCTCTGAATTTAATATGGGTCATTAACACCAAACTTCTGTAATCACGGTTTCAAACACAGAGCCTTTTAACGGTGTCAGTCTTCTGCGCGCTGCACAAGGGGTGTAAGCTGTTACAGGTTCTCCAGTTCGTGGCAGGACGGGGGGGTCCCATCAGACTCCACCATGGAGGCGTACTTTATCGGGGGTGGTGGTGGCTTGAAAGATGGAGGTCTGTTCATACTGAAACAGAAGAGAAAAAAATACGCTATATCACACAAAAGCCATATAAAAGACTGTTGTAAAATGTTCACAGAAGGAGGCAGAAGGACAGTAAATCATTACAAGAGCACCTGACATTTGCTCTTACATACTGTGACTTCCCTGTTTCTGTTCTATAGCTTCAGCGCACCTCCTGGTACTTACTTGGCTTTCTCAGCTCCCACCTCACAATTTTGTTTTATTCGTGCTTTAAAAGAGCAGATCATTGTCCTGGTGAACCATTCAAAACCCCTGCAGAGATCTTTTGCTCACACTGCTCTCTGAAGATGTATTTAAAGACTCATAACGAGTTTTTTGGCAATTTATAGGCCACGATAAAGAAAGGTCCTGGCCCAAAACAGTGAAAAAAATAAATCCCATTTTTTCGCTTCGATATACGGACTTGCAGTCATGTTTTTAAAGGGTTTTCTAGAACCACAAATGATTCATTGTCACCTTGATTTTTCAAACATTTTAGTAATGTTTGTAAGATTAAAAATAATTAGCTATTAGATACTTGGATACTACATCAGTAGATCTCCGAGTGCTTTAGTAGGGAATTAAACTTTGGTAATAATTACAAACTCAATGCTTCTTTGACTGGGATTAAGTTTCAGGTAGCCTACTTTTACATATATTATTTGCAACTCAAATAAAGCTGCCTTAGAAGTACAATTTCATTAAAACTTGTCCTCAAGTAACCATGCAAAATGAGAGAGTAAAAGCAGCTGGCAGGGAGGGCTAATAGAAGTGAGGGGCTCTGGGGAAAAAAAATTGACTTGTATTCTTCCCTCACACCGTGAAGCTGCACCACAGCTCTTATTTTTTAAAATTTATTTTATAGATAACCCATGGAATAGATGAAAAGACTGAGAAAACCCCACATTTCGTCTCTGTATGAAAAAACAGTATTAGTAATCCATGTATTTAAAGGTCTTGTGTGCTATGGGTAGTCTCAGATGAAAATGCAGAAATCCAAACAGCTGGGTTAGTTTGTGCTGTCCCCTGTGCCACCCCTCCCACCTCCGCAGGTCCCGTCCCTGTACTTACATCTCTTTCTGGTACTGACACCATTTCCTGATGCCTAAAGCTATTAGTAAACTGCAGAAGAGGAGCAGGACGGCTACCACTGTCGGCCAAGGGAAGCGACTGGCTTTTGTGTTCTTCGTGCCACCTGGAAGGAACACACAAGACAGAGATCAGCTGAATGTCCTCAAGGAGGAGGGAAATCTGCTTGCTGCCTGTGGGTCACTGCTTCTCCTGGGCAGAGTATGGTGACAACACCCCCAAACCAACACCCAACTGCCAGGTTCCCAGGCTGAGGATCCCAGACTCTCAGCACTGCAGCTCTAATTTGTGGACTTAACTCACTTTTGTTCTGACTGGGTTTGTGGGCTGATGTCAGCCACCCATTGGCTTATAGGATGGGAACATTCAGATACAGCCACCTGGCAAGTGTTTCATCCAAAAACCATTGTTTTTCTCTGTTGCCCTGCGAGCTTCTCTGAGAAGAGGAAGCACATCATGGTACAGCTGGACACAGCTGCCCATCCCAGCCCTCCTACCCACCAACTTATTTTTCACATCTCTGACACCAAACCCTGCCAAAACATCTGGCCAGGAGTCCAGTCACCTTTCGGGGTGGCCTCTTGCTGGTGGCACAGCATTCCCACCTCACCCCAGCTGCCTCTCCCTACCACAGTGCCAGGATGCCCCCACTGCCCCCTCTTGCGCAGCCACCCTTGGGGGTGCTGGTGGCTGAAAGAGGTGCCCTTGGGTTCCTGGCTATGGGGAGGAAGCAGAAGAGGAGCATGGTCCTCCTCCAGCTGCCACAGAGGGTGCGGCAGTGGGCTGGGTGCTAGAGAGGGCTGGAGCGCAAGAGTCACTGTGCGACACCAGTGTCACCTCCTGTTGTGCTGGCGTCAAGACCCTTTGCAAGCTTGGTCATACTGATACATCTCCCAGCCTGGGTCTTAGCCACAGTGGCGGCCAGCTCCACAGCCACTGGTGGACTGTGTGGGTGTGGTGGACCAGGTGCCAAGTCCACCATGCTGCTTGAGCTGTGGGTGGCCCATGGGGACAGAAGTGTGACCAGCCAAATTTTGCTCCTGGAAGAGAAAACATGCCCTGGGGCATTGCTTGTGGGTGCAGGGAGAAGGCAGGAATGCCAAAAACCTGCAACAAACCACGGAATGGGGACACAGCAGCCCTCTTTTAATCTCTTTTCCCTTTTTTGAACTCCCCTGGTCAAATGTAATGCTGCAGGTTTCACACTTCCCTGCTTTTCTTGCTTACTTCAATGGTATGCTGAAAGAAGAGGATTTGTACGATAATGTCTCACCAGTACTATTGAGCAGACTGCTGGTAGTAAAGAAAACGTTCCCTCTGGTAACTGATATTGGCTGGTCTGTGATGCTGAAGGACAGGTTACCTAAAAAGATACAGGTACAAAACATTTTTAGTAATTTATTTGGGACTTTTTAAAATGAAGGTTGTGTTTTGAAGCCACCGTTATTTGCCCTGCTGAAGACTGGAAATCAAATTCCAGAATTAAGGTGTCAAAATGCACTTGGCAAGACAGCTACATTTTTGGCTTACAACCCCATGTTAGACAAAAAGTGTGCTTTTATCAAATTAAAAAATATTAGAAGAAAGAAAGAAACAAGGACTATTAGAAAACACCTATTAAGATGTTCCAGCAAGCCAGTATTGAGCTGCACAGTTGTCTGGGAAATGCTAAGTTTTTACCTCTTTGACAGTAATGAAAAAGCTAAAGATATTAAGTGGCCTAGCAGCAACAAAAAGAGTCTACCTCTGTCGTGACTGAGTGAAAGCTCAGTCTCCTCTGTCAAGTATTGTGCCTGAACCACAAAAATCATCTTTTGCCTGCTTGTAGACAGGTATTCTGCCTTTCCTAATACAGCTAAACTACCTATGTTTAAGATGAGTGCTGCCTAAGGATACATTCCTGTTATTTCTAGCTGTCTCCTTGTTTGAGTCTTCCGAAATAATAGCTAAAATACGCGACTAAACAATGGCAAGCATCTCCAGAGCTGCCAAGGCACTTACGATGCACCAGGGTTGTATTCTCAGAGGAGCGCGTGGCATTCCTGAGGCTTTGAGGGGATTCGGTGGTGGAATCATTCAAATCTGTACAAAAAGAAATAATATCCTTCAATTATCTTACAAGCCCTTCATGCGATTACTTCATTAGGCTTAAGTGTGGCTATTTTATATCCTTTGCTTTTCTCTGATGCAAACAACAAATGAAATAACAGAGATACCTCTAAGTCTCTAGTATAATTGCTGATTTATAAATCCAAGAAAAAACCCCCATTGTTTAAATTATATGAATGAGTAACTGGGCAGAGCCAGGAAAAATCTCTTTCTCGTGAAATGCTGGTTCTGATTGAAATTGAGCACTCAAGCATGTATGTGTCTGTGTGTATGTATGTATGTAAGTATTAAAAAGCCCTACCAAATTCAACCCAATTCTAGGGCACTCTAAAAATTCACTGAGAGTTTTGGACATGAATTCAATTCAGTTCTTCTTTTCTCCTTGTTTGCAAGGTGTTTAATTTTATGGGGATAAACAGGGTAGATCTGGCATTTTAAAAAGTTATATTAAAAAAAAAAGACATACATTTAGAGATCCCATAACACTGTGCTCTGTACAACATGCTGACAAGCACTACCTGTTATTATCTACATAATGGCTTGTGTCAGAGCCTCAGAGAATTGAACTGATAATGGTAATCCCTGTCGTGCCAGCCTGGTGGCCCCGGGAAGGCACAGGGAAACACATTGGTACCTCTCAGCGAGCTGGGTGCTCTGAAATCGCCCTCAACTACAGCTGCTGGACCAAGGACCTTTGAAGGTCCTGCCCCGGCTGGTGGTCGGGCGGGCACGGCTGTAGAGAAGATGATGAGTGGAGCAACGCACGGCACCTCCTGCAAATGGCAGTGTCATTCAGCACGCTTTTAGCAAAAATGTCAACCCCCAAGCTGTGCAAGAGCAGGATGGCGAAGCATTAGACGTTGTCACAAGGTTTCAGTCTAAATGCGTGGTTGTGGGTTGTGTGCGGGTAAATAAGCCCCGGAGTGCTGCCAAAAACGTATTTGGAAAACGGAAAGCGGCTGCTGCGTTTGTGCTTCAGCCAAAAGAGGACGGCCATACACATGCAAAACGTGCTTTGACAGGTCCTGCCTGTTCTGAAAGCACAAAGACAAACCAAGATGTTAAAAAAGAAAGTCACTTCTGGCTTTCTGCTGCTGAGTGGAGATTTTCTAAAGAGAAAGGTATGTGCAAAAATGCCCACCCCTAGGGTTTTTTTTGTTGATTTATTGATCTTTAATGAGGCTGCCTTTCAACGTTCTATTAGCCAGCTTTTATTGTCCCACATTATCTCATGATTTCATTGCTGTTCTGTGATTTTATTTAGCTTCTCTAGTAATTTATTTCATCTATAAACTACCCTCAGTACTCACTACATTTGCCTAGCAACTCTCTCAATTTTAATATTATTAAATTAAATACGTCTAATAAAACCAGGATACTCAAATGGTTTCCTCGATGGTTTGGAAGGCTCAAGTCTCTATCTTCTAACTCAGTGCAACTCAGCAGGGAAATCGATTCTGTGAAGTACTGAAAAGGTGCTACAGATTACACCACCTGATTTTTGGCCTCTGCTTCGACACAACTTTTCCATCATTAGTAACAATTTTTGCATGGCAATATAATTGCTATCAACTAGTAGCTCAAAATAAGCAGCACAGAGCTAATGCACCTGGCAAAGGCATCAGAAATTGAGGACCATGTAGAGCCGAGTACCTGCTGCTGTGCTTTTTACAAGATACTCCAGATCACTGGAGACTTGCAACCCAATACTCCCTAAGTTGGTGCCATATTTGCACTTGGCAGCACCTGTATTTAGCTACATAACTCCCCTGCCACAGTCCTATGAAGCGAAAGAGATGTACCATCTACTCACATGCTGTTGTCAAACTCCCCCTGACTGCTGTAGTGCTGGCATAGCTTTTGGTCTCTCTGGTAGAAAACAGCACTCCTGTCAAAAAACACACAAGCTTGTAAAAACATCTGTAGAGGGCCCCATCACTTGTTCTTTATTTTTTTTCCTCTTTCTTCCCGTGTTTCCTGACTGAAGAAGTCAAAGACTTGTAACCTACCACCCGAGATGCTGGCTTCCCTCTGACAAGCACCACAAAATTCTGTGTCAGTTTTTAAAGTCTGTCACAAGCGAGAAACTAAAGAGACATTTGTTGAGATGGATAAATACACTTTGAGAAAACATATGAGGCATTTAAGCATGTGGTTTTGGATTTCAGCTGAGTGTCAGCTACAACGCAGTAGTACTGAGTTCTCTGGCTTGCTTTGACCTGAAACCAATAGAGAGCGGTGAACAAATGTACATAAATCAGAATTTAGACAGGGTTTCACCAGCTCCAATGAGACAAAACTGTTTTCCCAACTAGCAGGGAAAAGTTTTGAACAAGTTAGTGTATAGGAGTCACACTTGGGATGCCTGGTGCCAAATACCAACTTATTTAACATTTTCCTTTAATATGTTTTTGAAGTGCTAGGTATTCTGGAGCTAAACAAGCTGATATTCAAATACAGACAGATGGTGGTTAACAAGTAGACCTCTATTTTCCCAAGAGGACTATTTCACATTTACTAAAAAGAGTCTATCTTTCCCAACACCTGTCTCATTGGAGAAGTACCATTAAGCCATCTGAGCAAACCTGAGAAGGTGAAATGCAGCTGTAACCCAGCACTCGAAGCCTAAGCATCTCCGAGTTCAGAGGTGGAGCTATCATGGAAGCTAAGCAAAGACAAGGCTGCAGTTTTAACAGCCTTGGCTTTGTCTCCCCTCCTTCTCCTGCCTATATCTGTGCTCCCTTCCCTTCTATCAACTCTCTTGGATTTTCATTAAAAACTTGCAAAACAACAGGCACTGAACCAAATCTCTTCATACAACAGGAGACTTGGACTTGAAGTTCTGACTCGGCTGCAGCCCAAAGAGTCTGCTCAAGGAACTGATGGTGGCACCGGTGTGGGAACCAGCAGTGAGCCAGAGAGGAGAAGCACTACCCCATGGCTGGCACCCACAACTGCCACACATCAGAGGCATTGGCTAAAAGGCAATGTTTCCTGGGCTACTTACAGAAGAGAAATGGCTCAGCTTATACTATGACTTTGACCTCGTACCTCCTCAAACAGTGAAGATATATAATCCAACGAGGAGAATCCTCTGTTTACACTGTGTATTTATAGCCTTTGTTGTGAAATTGTTTGTTGAGACAGAAGGGCTTTCAGTCCACATGGACAAGCGCTCTGCTGCCTGCTGTCAGCTGGGCTAGGCAAGTGTCTCTACTTTAGGGATGGGGAACACAGCCTGAGAAGCAGCAAACTTTAATTTCAGTGCTCCTGCAATCTGTATTCCTGCCCTGGCATATCTCGATCCAGCCTCTTCATGCCCCAGGGCTTTACACTGAGTGATTCAGCTGTCAGACAGCACTCTGTTGGGGCAGGATGAAGCCATGTGCTCAGCATCTTCTTACAATATTAGCCCCCGTGCTGGCCACCATGGTAGTCGTGCATCTCTGGGTAAATGCTGCTATCATGTAATGTAGGTTACTTTAAGGGAAGGTTGGGGGATTGAACTACACAGTTTAAGGAAGACATTCAATGCCCCACAAACTTGTGAAAGTTAGTTGGTTGCAAGTGATTTTTTTTTTTTGTTTGGGAGAGCAAGGCTGCCGCAAATACTGTGGGGCAAATCCACTCATGCTTTCTGCTGCCCCAGTGGTGGATCTCTTCTGAGGCAAAGCTTTGGTGCTGCTGTGGAGGGGAAGATGGCATTTGTCAGCAACTTGCCACATCGCCTCTTCCCCCTGCTGACGGGCTGTTTCACCTGGGCATTTTTGTCTCTGAAACAGGAGCATGTGCCATGCCCACATTTATTCAGCCTGGGTGGCACCCAGTGCCCACCTTGCTGCTGGCGAGGGCAGCCCCAGCACCCTGCTGTCTGCTGCGTCCAACCAGCCAGCCCTGCAGGCATCAACAGCCGGGCTTCAAAATGGAAGGAGACTTTAAAGAAAAAACATGTTTGCGGGTAGGCTGTGCTACGAGAAATGCACTCTGCTGAGACTGGCAGGCATCAGCCCTTGCTTTTGGGTTCAGAAGGCAGGAGGTTCACAGCTTCTCCTGCTCTGGGTTCAGGCTGCTGGGCTGTTGGGTGCGTGCCAGCCGCTGCTGCACGTACCTCTCCCTGGGGAAAAGAGCTTAAATTCTTCCGAGTGAGTCATCCTGCCCTCCACTGGCCTCCGTATCACCAGCCCAGGGAAGAAATCACTGAGTTGAGTCATCTGCTGTAAATATTTTGTTTATCGGTGCTTTGTATTCCTACTCCTGTGCTCCGATGTTTAGGCTGCACTATTTTCTAGCTCTAATGTAATTCTATTTTTGTATGATATTTAACTGAAGAGATGCAAGGAATAAGTATTGTAAAAACACATACTCGATGTCTATTCACTTCCTAAAATTAATGCATATATCCTGAATGGAGCATTAAAAAAGATGAAATCAAGACAGTACTTTCTCATATATTTATTTTTGAATTGTGCACCTCCTAGTGTTTAATGCGCTAGGAAAAGGGCTTCAGTGGACATTAAAGTGCTTGCTACAAAAAATGCAAGGGAGTTACTGTGTTTATGTATCTTTCTCCTATGTTCTTGAAGCAATAGAGAAAACATTTTGGCTGCATTAATTACCTTGTGTTGTGGAAGCAGGAGCTGAGCTTGCTTGACTTGTGAAATCTAGAGAAGCCAAAGACATCGACTGGTGCTCTAAAGACAAACAAATTATACGGTATCATATTTAGTCAACAGGATCTTTTAAAAATAATATCAATAAATCATCGAACAACCTGGATCAAAGAGCTTGCAGTAGCTGTAGGGTAAACGCAGACTCTACAGCAGGAATCCTGCTGTCGGAGTTATCGTTAAACGCTAAAAACGCAACCCACAAGTTCAGGGGGCTATCAGAAGGGATAACAGTATTAATGCTGACCCTTTCATGTGGGCTATTTATCTATCCCCCTATACACAGGGATCACTTTAACTGCTGTGGGGTGGATTATGCACTTGTGGTGGTGCTCCCCTGCCCAGCTAGGGCCTTGCCAGAAACGGTCCCAACAATGTGCTGCAGCCACATAAGCCCAGGAGATCACCTACTCTTGCAGGTTTCCCTCTCAGTTGCTGAAGATAGATAGTTTTATATAGTTATCCATATGCATGCTCTGGTAAAGCAGTGTTATTTATCTTATATCATTAATAAATGGGAATGATACGTTACTATTGGATCAGGGAAAAGTGGTGGTTTTCTATCACGTGCATATCTTTGTTACAATAGGACAAATTTATTCATAGTTGCATAAGGGCTTTTATTTCATTTTATAAAAAGACATAAGAATAATATGTGATATGCAGCATGTCATCTTAGATGCTGTCCTAACATGACAGCTTTGGCAGGATTTGTGTCAGATCTCTTCTTGGGTAACTTCGTAGTTCACAAATGCCTGTCCAGCAGCACATAGGTACCATCAGTACCAGAGCACACTGACCTTTCCCTGGCACGCCTCTGGCTCTGTGTATATGGCATTTAAGCAATGGTCAAGCAGAAATCCTATATGTATTGACTGAGTAATAAAGAAGGCGCTTTTTTTTCCCCCCTTACCTGAGGTAGTCATGACAGCTGATGGAAGTGCTGCATTTCCAAGGTCTATAACAAATAAGAGCGAACACTTTTACTCAGTGAGACATAGGTGTTTATTCTGCTTTTAAAAAGTGGGTGATTCAGAGGTTTAAGAGTGAGGGAGTGCATCACACTTAATTTCCAAATAATCTTTCAATGCACAACTCAGCCAAGTGGTCCAGTGAGAAGCATGGAGGACCAGAGGTAACTCTGCTGTGAAATCCTTAGGGAAACAGAGGTTTTGGGGGAAAGGGTTTGGAGACCTGGGCACCTCAGCTTAAAAAGCAGAAGTGAGCTACATGGTTTTATCCCATACAGACAGACGCATCTTATTAGCACACATGTTGAAACAACATGTATGACCCAGTGGTGGCACCTGCATAGCTCCATCCATGAGGCACTTCAGAGATTGCAACTCTGACAGAGAATTTCAGGGATACTTTGCACTGAAAAGTGCCCACCAAGTCCTCTAAGAAGAGGAGAGGGAGTTATTTCTTGTAATGAAAGGACTATTAACCAGCCAGCCAAGCACAGCAGAGACACCATCCTGGTCAAGTAGCATTTATAACCTGAATAAGAGTCTCACTTTTTTCTTTTTTCCCCAGGAGATGAGGCAAAGTACCCCCTGTGTAGGTTAAGAAGAAGGTTTAAATATTCCCAAAGGGCTTCATGAAGGAGGTGATCTATGAAAGCTCACACACCCCTCATTAGTAGGACATATCTGGGAAGGCAGCCAGAAGGTACCTCTGCCTGGTCAGGCTTGTTGGGAGGGCACTGAGTGGGGAGCAACCCTCTGCAGACAGGATCTTACCATACGTGGCTAGCCATCAGCTCTCCAGCTGCTTTCCTTTGCAAGTATTTGTAGCTCCTTTGACAGTTTTGCGTGTCTTCCATTTGAATTTCATCTTAGCCTTGCTTGTGCTAACAGGGATTTCGTTACATAGAAGGACTCTTTACCAAAGATGCAGCAGGTCTAAAAACCAGGTTGGCAGAGCACCTTGGGGTGTGCCCAGCTCCCAGTACGTTTCTGCAGAGCATGCAAGGTGAAGCAGGGTGGTGACCTGATGCCAGCTTCAGGGGCTGCTTTGAGAGATCACCTTGCAGCGGCCAGCGGAGGAGAAAGTCTCTCTCTCAGGGACCCCTCGTACCTGCCATGGCTTTCTGGTGCCCAGCAGGGCATTGCCTGAACCCCCAGGGCCTGCCAAAACTCTCACTCACAGAAGCAAGCTGACATAGTAAACCACACTTCTTTCCAAGCCGTTTGTCCACAGTGTTTCTCTGACACACTCAAGTAACCCACCCCTGAAGTGCAGCTGTCTCCCGTGGGGAGCAGAACAAGCTGCCCCGGGAGACGTGTCTCCAAAGGGCTTCCAATGAGGTGTGGAGGGAACCATTTATCTGTCTGCAATAAGCTGATAGTAAGACAAACTTGCAGGGGCAGAGTGCAGATTTACCAAATTTACACAAATGAAGGAAAATCCCATCAGTTCTTTAATTAGGCAAAAGTGTTGAGGATCTTGGCTGTGTACTTAAGCAGAAGAACCATTACTAGGGCTGTTATTTTTAATTATCAGTTCAGTGTTGAAAGAGCTATATTCAAATGCCAGCTGAAGCATCAGAAATAACATTAAGTGCCCCTCAAGGCTGGAGTTTAATTATGCTTGGGCTTAATTATGATAGATTATGTCACCAAAATATCTGTTTATTGTATTTTCTCTGAAGTCATAGCTGGAAAAATGGGTACCTTACTACCCATCCAGAAACAAGTTTGCCAAACTATTTCTCCAACAGCTTTGGGAATTTACAGATTCACTTTTAACCTAACCCAAGTTATTTCGTTCTCTAATTTATCCTACCTTCTGATGCTATGGTTGTAAAAGCTTTGGATGAGGCTTCATTAGACTTATTGTCTGTGAAGAAAGAAAAAAAAAAAGATTAAAGCAGTTCTTAGAAGTAGTTAGGCTTTTGTTATAAAAGCTGAAAATTTAGTTTGGGGTTTGTGTCATACTGTGCATTAGTATGGCACCTTCACAGAATATAGCTGAGAATTAATTTAATTCTTTTCTTTCTGTCACATCTAAATACATTAACATTTTTATACAGAGTGGATCTATCTCAACGTTAGCATAGCCTGCAGGCAAGAATGTAGACTGCTTTAATTGACGGCTCTCTGATTTGAATATATTTCTACAAAACTGCAAATTGGGTGAAATGAGTCCTTTTGGAGAAAAACGATCATTTATCTCCCTTCCCTTCAAAGCAATATTTCCAGAGGATTGAGCTCTGGCTTTTGATGCAGTTCTTTCTTTGTGGAAAAACATACCAATAAAGGTATCCACAGCCACAAGTGGACACAGCAGAGCTTCAAGTACTCACCATGGTACGTGATGTACCCGCGGAGACTGCTAAGGGGCCAGCAGTTCAGTTGTATTATCTGTGCAGCAAGGAGCATACACAGTAAAAAAAAAAAAGAAAAAGGTGTAACTAAGCGTTTGCACCTGAAGAGGAGGCATACACAAGAGGATGCTAAAGGAAGTCAGTCTGCCCTTTTCACCAACCACCCTGCATCTTCAGAAATGCCACAAACCTCTGCACTGCCACTTTTCCTGCTTTCACCAGCTACTTGAGATAGTATTTCTCCACGCTTCCTTAATTGTGTCACTAATTCTTATCGTACAGGGGAGTCTCTCCATTGTCCAAAATGATTCAACTGTTTTAGGGGCCTTTTGCAAGTTTCACTGAAGATGTACAGCACAGCCCTGCCTCTAAGGGTTTGATTTTCCAGAGAGCTGCATTGCACACATGCAGACTTTCTGCCAGGAGTGCTCAGTAAGAAACACATGATTATGATAGCTCGCTGGTGCCATGTGGCTAAGCTAGTGTATTTTTGGGTATAGAAATTGCAGCAAGATACTGCCTAAATAAACAGCAAGCATCTTATATTTGTGCAGGAGTTTCTTCGCTCATTTAGAGGCTTGAGAAAAGATGAGCTAAAAAACCTCCCCGAAAGTTCAAGCTGTGTGATGAACTTATACAGTAAAGCTCCCATACTTTTGGCAATTCTTTTGTATTTTAAGTAATAGAGAATACATGTGTTTGCTGTTCTTTACATTTTATGTTTCAGATGCGTCCTATCTATGAAAAACCTACCGAAGGAAACAAATATTTCTTCTGATGAAATATTCCATGTTTCATTCCTGAGGAAGGAAAACAGACATGCACACGAGAACGTCTTATGTGTCTGGTGGCTCCCTTGCAACAGCAGCGTTGATCTCAGATGATAGAAACCTTCACTATCTTGCAAGTCATCTTGTTCAACAGGAATATCTTGGGGAAAGAAAAAAAAATAAAAATCTGCAAGACCCTCTCATTACATTCCAAACTATAAAGCAGAGCTGTGCAAAATATTGGTACTGAAAAGCAAGCTTATATGGCTGCAGGTTTCTTTGCTGAGATGTTATCAAAGATGGCAAGAGCAGTGGGGTTATTTCAAGCCATTGTGCCCATCAGTGGCAGTTGCAGGGGGATATGGTCATGGTACTTCACCAGCTGTTTGCTTTGAGGAGGTCTGATCCTCCTCTTCACCCTGACGGACACCCACAAGCTTCCCATGGCAGAAGCAGGTGAGAAACCACTGCTTTTCTTGGTAACCACTCCTACAGCTGTGCCATTGTCCTATTAAGGGCATTACCTCCAGGCTGCTCCATCAGGCTCACTCTGTCCACGTACCACTGGAGGCTTGGCTTGGGAAATGCTTTCCTCACGATGCAGCTCACATTAGGCTGTGAGACAGTAAAAAACAGTAGTTAGCCTCTGGCGTTTTTCACCTTGCTCCTGGCTTCCAAACTCCCTTACAGACAGAGCTTATTTACTCACTCACTTCCTCTTTATTGCTTTTCTTTCCCTCTGCCATTTTTCTGGTTGCAAACACCATTGAATGAGAACCCAGGGATACCCCCATCACCCTGGGACAGCTGGGGGGTAATAGAGCTCCAACACCCTCTGGTCCTGTGTTGTGGCCAGAGAGATACAGGGTGATACCCCAGCCTCCCTCCCACCAGTGCCTCAGTGACAAACACCCACATGGAGAAACACTGGCATTGGGGTGTGTGTGTGGAGAGTGAGACACCTCCTGATAGCCGTGTAAGTCCTTCCTTCATCAGGCAGATAAGGAGGCAAACCCCCAAAAAGACTGCCTAGCACAATGATGTATTGAATATACCAAATTTGCTACCTTTGAAGAAGGCACAGTATGCAAGAGGTTTCCAGAAGTCACAAGGCACTGCATGCTTAGATGCAGTAGTCCTGGCTGTATGCCAATTGCTCAAAAAAATCTGTGTTTGTGCTCAAGTTAATTTCTCATCAAGCAATAGATGGGAAGGACCTCAAAATCAAGACTGGTTGAAGGGTTGGGCATCAGCAGGATGGGAGGTCTCATCCTCATGCTGCCTGGATGTTCCCCATTCCATTCCATTCCATTAGCAGTTTATGGCACTAAGATAAATTGCCTTGCCCAGTTAAACAAAGGGGGAAAAAAAAAAGGAAAAAAAGCATGTGCTACTCATGCAGCACCAATCCCTCTCACTCCCACTTTTGAAGAAAGTGGTTCACACATTTAGTTGAAAACAAGCTTGATGTACTGTAGCCAGCAGAAGTCAATCATTCAGTGTGAAGACTGTAACTACTGAGCTGAAACTCTTTCCTTGCCATGGTAAATAATCTCTAAACTTGTAATGGCATTCCTCTTTTTTCTCTTCATTGTTCCCTAATTTTTCAGACACTATTAGTTCATAATATGTTTACAAATGCTGGAATATTTGTAAACATATTATGAACTATTAGTTCATAATATGTTTACAAATGCTTCCTATGAAGAAACACAAGTCCTGCAAGAAAAGGTGGAAAAGAGAAGGAAAGGGGTCTGTGTTTGTTTGGGGGTGAACAATGGACAGAGGCTCTTGGAAGAGTTTTTGTTGCCCGGTCAGAAGATAGCAGCACTCTTTGCTCTGCTCAGCAGGACAGTGCGGACAAAAGCCTGCAGTGTCTAACACCACACCTGGAAATAGGTCACCAGGAAAATCATACTGGTTTTGCAGAACCAGCTGACTCATGGCTTGCCTGACAACAGGTGGGTATGGTTAATACAAGGTTTTGTCTGCCCACAAGCACTCTTTCCAAGGAAAACTTTCTTTGCTTGGGATGCTCACAGATCAAAAGCTTCAACCTGGATGGATGCAACAGGAAGCAAAGCATCATAGCTTGCTAGTCAGTCATATGGGCCATAAATATGTGTTATGCTAAGTACAGACAATGCAGTACAGCAGATTTTCCCTTCAGGTTTGGCCATTGCCAAGCAGGTGATAAAATAAAGGTCCCAGAACACACATGTAACTGCTCAGCTATAAGTAGGGGCCCTCAGACTTAGGTCCAGCCCCTCCATCGGCATCTAATTGCTCCAGCTGAGTTCTTATTGAGGCACACCAGTTTTTGCCTGACAAAATCATCTCCTTTCCATCTACACACTAGACCATGTCAGTGCCCTGAGCACAGCACCTGCTCTTCCCTGTCCCCAGGGGTCTGTGTGCAGGTGGGGACTGCCACTGCCTACCCCCTGGAGCAGCATCCCAGGTAGCCAGTGGCCTTCTTTGGAGAGGCATTTTATGCAGTGAGGAGAGGGCAGCTTGAGGCTGCTGGGCAGTAGCCAGAGTGTGGGATGGGAAAGGGAGCATTGCAACCCCCTGTGACACCACTGATTCCTCCTCACCGCCTCTCGACCCTGTCACGGAGCTTTCTCTGGGGCTAATGCAAAATCAGATTTTGCTCGCCCCACGGAGAAGCCTGTAGCTAGCTCCAGTTTGTGCTCACTGAAGCAGCTCACTGCTGCAGGGGTGGGAATTGCTCATAAGAAAGGGGACGAATGGCTGACATTAACTCGTTGACTCGCTCATCACCCTGTGAGTTCGGTCAGGTTGGAGGTCCCGCCTACGTCTGATTCAGCTCAGCCTGCCTGGCCCTGCTGTGGTGGCACGGTGATGGTCATGGGCATTACTCTTTGCTCCAAAATTGCTCACCTTCTGCGAGGTGCCAGCTGAGCCCTTCCGCAGGCTAATGGAGATCTCAGGGTAGGCTGGAAAGCAAACAGAAATGTATTAGCGAAATGGATACTGAAGGTCACAGTAACAGCTTCTAATGAGATTTAACAGCCTTGTTTTGTAAAAGGAGAAGAAATGAAATCCTACATCCGCCTACACACCTAGCACGATAAAAGCTCGCACAGATACGATGTGAAGTCAAGGAAGTGGTTTACAAGCATATATCAGCAGTTACTACCACAAGATCTGTGATGTATTTCCCTGCCTATCTATCTATACTACTCTTGGGTGGCTTTGCTGGAGAAGCGAGCTGAAACCATCAGTCATGGTTCTGATAGCAGAGCCACCATTCTAGGGCCTGCCGGAATAAAACACTCCCCAGTTGTTTGTTCCTCCATGTGTTTGCCAGTCAAAGTCATCTGCAAAGGCTTTAGCTATCTCCACAAACGTTGATTGATTTGGAGTCCCAGCTATCCACATGCTGTCACCTGGGCAGACATGTGACAGTGTCACACCACAGGCACTTCCTGCCTTGCTGGGAAGCCCAGAGGTCACCTTCTCATCAGAACAGCAGGTCTCTGGTGACCACATGCACAAGAAATGGAAAAAGTGTTTTCATTTGTTTTCACAGCATTTTGGTTCTAAGCGCAGCTGACTGTACAGATAAAAGCTACCGTAAGCCTCTCTACATTGGCATTTCTAAATTAGCCATTGGGATCACTCATTTGCAGTAATATTAACTGACTTGTTAAGTAAGGGCTGTTAAAACTGTGCTAATATATAGCAAATCTCAAAAGCCTTGGATAAATTGTGCTTTTGGTCCTTTTTGAGCCTTAAACCGGACTGGAAACAAGTGCAGCCCTTGGATTACTTAGGAGATCCATCGTTCTTTCTCTTTCCAACCTAAACCCCACTTTATTCTCTACAATTAAGATGATTTTATTTTCTTTTTTTATCACTCTGTTAACTGATATAGTGTCACTTCAGTTCATTACATTCCCTTCTGAGTTAACTGCTCAAGTTTCCTGGTTGTTTTATATGACAAATCCACGAAGGACTCTCCTACCTTCTTTTAATTTCCATATTTCTCCCTAGTGTTACTGATGGATTATGCCTGGGAGTGACCTATATTTAATTATCATGAACTTACGTTTTTCTGGACTTGCAGTACTTTTTGGGTGGAATTTCCTTTGGGTTTGTTTTTTGGTTTTGTTTTTTTTTCTGTTTTGTTTTGGTAAATTCTTCCTATCAGAAAATGGATGTCTGAAGATTCGATCTTTGTTTCTGCCTTGCCAAAACTGTACAGATGGTAGTGGGGCTGGTAGAAGACAACCACACTTTTTCAGATGTAAGAAAAAAAAATCGGTTAACTAGATCCTCTAATCTCAGCGGAAAGTTGGCTGAGAGACTAAATAACACCCAGTCTAGTGCCTGCTCTTCCTTTTGCTTTTTGATGATAACAGGTATGCTTTTCCATATCTGTACTGGATGTTTGTTGGGTAACTGTTCTGGCAGGCAGCTGTCAAGCACAGCTCTGAAGGATCTAATAGATCTTTTCCATTTAACATCGCAGCCCCTGTTAACAGTTTGACATTCATTTGTCTTGCTAGGATATTTACCAATGTTTTGGGTCTAGCAGAAACTCAATATTTAGTATAGTAGTTTCTGCTGCTGAGCTTTTTCTCTTACAAAAAGGAGAAATCAATATTTGGCAAAGTTAGATGTGAAAAGGCCATACTTTTTCTCAGAAACATGTATCTAAAAGAACGCTGTTCTAGGAAAGAGATATTTTGAAGCATTTAGGTCCAAAAGTACCCTCTTAAAAAAAGCTCTCTCTGTTTTTATTTCATCTATCAAGACTCTCAACTTCATTGAAAGACTTGTTCATGCCTTCCCCATCCTCTCCTGCCCCGCTCTCAGACTCAGGCCACCTCAACTGTCTGTGGGGAAGTGCCACTGCTGCCCCTCAGACTTGGGCTGCCTCCACGGGGTTCAGCCCGGAAGCATTTGTCAGAGGGATCCTGCACAAGGGTCTTTCCCCTTCCTCCCCTCCTGCCCATTACAGCACCATGGTGCACTAGCTGCTGCCCTCCCTTGCCATTCTTTCATGCCACCCAGCCCATGGTGTTCAGTTGCACAAGTGTTTTGGTGACAGCAGCGTTGCTGGCTTGCTGAGATGAGAAAATCTCTCCAGGTTTCACTTGGCTTTGGATCTCTACCTACATCCTTTCTAATGGCCGGGAGGACAGATATAAGTAGTATAATATGCTATTGATATTGTATGCGCTTATTACCATGCTTTAGATCCTGCCCTGGCCATCTGAGGCTTGGTCTACCTGCTAGGACATAAGTATTCATTTCTTGGTCAGCTTTGGCACAAGAAACAAGAGGGGTACTGTCATCTGAAGTGGCTGTTTGTCTGTCCCCAGATGTCAGCTGGAGATTGCTGGATTGTTCTGGCCACCGTCTCTGCCTGTTCCCTGCCAGTACATGGGGGTGTGGGCTGACACAGGGGTGGCTCTGGACCATTTGCTCTTGGTCTCCCCTCCTGCTGTAGCACAAGAGAGGTAAATGGAGAAAAACTGGTATGATGCAATCATGAGCAGTGTGACTTCAGCCAATGGTAACAGAAGAGAGTGAGACAGCATGCAAAACAGTTATTTTACCCACAAAATATCAGATGTGAAAGGGTTAAGAGCAAAACAAAGGCACTTGCTCCAAGATCTGGACGCTATTGGCCTGAGGTCTGAGAGATCTTCCTCAGTACTCACCACAAACCTGTTCTTAGGGAGCCCCTCCACCTACCCCTGCCCACAGGACACCTGGGAGAGAGGCTGATGGCACAGCACCCCGGTCCCAAGCCAGCTGGCACTTTCTGGGAGCATCACAGGCTGCTCAACACCAAGGGCCACGGTTGCTTTCTCTTGTTTGCCGCTCTCCCCTGTTGCACTAATAGGCTGATGTGGGTGCACGCACAGACAGCCACGTATGACGCAGTAATTCAAAGAATAAGCCAAATAAAGCAACCTCTTAGGCTAACAGATACACAAACCAGGGTGAGAACATCAGCAGGGGTGGAGGAGAGGGAGAGTTCAAGTCTGCCAGTATACTTGAACGATTAGCCAGGTAACACTGTAGCTGTTTGACAAACGTTGATTTTTAAAAGTAAGACCCATGTCTGAATCATGCAAACGCAAGAGGAAATTTCAGATCATTAACTTCTATTTTTATTTCTCTTGCGTCAGTGACCAACAGCTCTCAGACACAGGTTTTGTCTCTATTTTTTTTTTTCTTTCTTTTTTTTTCAGCTGCTCCTTGTTGGATCTTTCTTTGCATTCAGAGCATCAGCCATGCCAGCCCTGAGCCACGGGCTTCCTCAAGCAAGCAACTACAGTGGGACAAACAAAGACAGTGGGACTGTCAACAGACCCACTGTTTGACACCCATTCGTTGCAGGAGCACTGGAAATATGTGCTTACCAGACTCACTGCTCTATAAGCAGAAAACACAGCCCAGTTTTCAGTGGGCAGCAGCTGGTCTGATTCAGTTGTCCCTCAACAATTGTAAAGCAATTCCTAAGCCACCAGAAAGGGAGCAGAGCAAGTAACTAAAGATGGGGAAGGCTTCCAGCATGAAACACCAGCCCACACATCTGTGGTACCTGTGCCCTCCCATTCCTGACCCATTTGAGACCCCCAAGGGGTAAAATATCACATGCCTTTGGGGGTGTGTCCTTGCAACAATGGTAGTTCCAAAATGTTTTAGCTAAATTGCGGCCATGATTTCCTAACCACAGGCTGAATGGTCATTTTGTAATGGGCAAGGAGATCTTGATGACCGAGGTGCTTACCTGTAAACTGCTAAGTGCCAACATATGATTACACATTGGGGTGAGATAGCGGCAATGTACGTGCCAACAGTGTTGATGTATGCACAATGGAGCTACTATTTTTCATGCCAGAAATCAAAGGAATGGCCTTAAATTCTTCCTAAGAACTATGGGGTTATTTACAAACATTTTGACTCATTGCAGCTGAAAAAAATAACAATGTAAATATATATATATATATTAAAAGCCCCAGTGAATTTAAAAAGCTATTGCCTTCAGAATGAGACAGGAATGTTACCTTTCCAAGTGCAACTAAGTGGTCAGTTGGCATAAGCCCCTTACCGAATACTCTCACGGTGGTGCTGCTCTTCCGGACTCTTTCTGGGTGGTACACCACATGGCAGGAAAACACCCTGCCATCGTCCATGATTTTGGTGGGGAAAATCTTTAGAGAGTTATTCAAACCCAGGTGGACTCTTTGCCTGTCCAGGGCACTGCTGTTCCTGTACACTGCAGGGCTGGAAGGCTCCTTGGTCACAAGTTCCTCTTTCCTGCCCTTTTCCACCTGTGAAAAGAGCAACCCATAGAATTTGTGAAGACCAGTCACCCTTCCCCTTGCACACACCCTCCAATATTTTGTAAACCAGATCTGGTCCCACTATGAAAAATTTCTCTTGCACCTCTAGCATTGCATAGTAGTAGGTGGATACTTTACAACGCTTATTTTTCTAAAATATATTCTCTCAGAACTTCAAAACCAATAGCACTCATCACTTTACCAATAAACTATGGAGCAAATAGCTGTGTTTGTGAGTCTTGGTCTCTGTAGCCTGCAGAGAGGGCAGCAGAGCTGCTTTCTCACTGCAGCAATCTTTAAGTTATGCTGAACATCCCATACATACTAAATACACCTGAAATTCCGAGAAAATCCTTGCTGTTTTAGATTTTAAATACTAAGAACCTGATAATAATAGCTAGAAGTCTTCTCTTTATGCCTGTGTGCCAGGCACCCTTAGACAGAGGTGCAGCCGGCATGTCCTGGACATCTGTCCTTCGGAACATATTTGTAAGCTGTTCTCTGGATGATGCATGGTGACCCACATATGTCATTGTGCTGACCTTTGAGGGTTTTTTTCCCCTTCCTCTGCTGCTTTTTAGAGTCTACTAGTAACACTAAAACACAGTAAGGAAAAGGATGTTCCCTGCAAGCATTTTAAGGATTTTAATATAAGAATGCACTGCAAAGAGGAGGTCTAAATAGATAATGAGCTGGGACAAATGACTAAAAAGCACCTTTAAGAAAACCTTCTCCCCAGCAACAACAGATAAAAATTAACAGACAAAGCTCAAGGGTGCTGCTGGCTCTACATACTGAAATTAATGCTAAAAGGTTACATTAAAACAATCATGTAAATATCTATCCAGAAAGTGAGATGCAATACAAAAATATAACGAGCTTTATATCTGACAGCAAATTGCTTAAAAATAGTTTTTATGTGGTTAGCTAGATAACTGGGTTTGCGTGTCTTCTGCCTCTGTGACAGAAAGGTTAACAAAACCAAAAACATTACAGTCAGCCGTTGTTTTTTATTTTTTCTATTTTAAAGCAGCCTGATATCTCACTACTGTGAGATACACAGCATAAAATACACAGTAATTGTATATTTTTCAGAGACACTAAAGCTTCACTACAGCAAAAATCCCTGAGAAATCCAACACAAGGAATATTTTAGCTCTGTTACATTTGCTAAGTTCTTTGCCACTTTGCACAGACCTGCTCTACATGTACTCCTGAAAAATGAGAAGCAATTGAGATGGAATTTTCCCTCTTTGTTTCTTTAACAGCTATTGTTTGTGGTGTGTATGTTGCAAACCCATGTTTGTACTTTTTCCCTTTATTATCACAGTCCAACCCGACTGATACCTTTTGTTTAGTAAATTCTGCAGGACATAGTAAAGCCTAACATTTCTATTTCAATCTGCAAAAATACCCTGTAGTTCCCTCTGAAATTTATACCCGAGATGAAAAATACTTACCACTAGCCATTTCAAAGGATAATTGGACAAATTTTCTGAGGTCAGGTCCTCGAGGCATGGAATTTCTAAAGTCTGGTTTAACCGCACTTCCTTCACGTAATGCTGCTCCTCTTTTGTCATTGCAACAGCAACAAAAACAACAACAAAAAAAGGCCAAGAAGGAAAATCAGAAACATTGTGTTCATTGTGCTTTAAAAAACCAATGCTGTCTCATCTTCTGTTCAAGGAACAGGCACTTTTTTGATTAGAAAGGAACTGTAATTTTCAACCATTACCCACAGACACATTTGTTCAGTGAAAGCCCTTGCATCTGATTCTGGATGCAGTTTTGTGACTCTAATTTGTGGCTTTACCTGAGATATTGGGAAATTCATGAAAAAATTTGCTTAACTACGGAATCAAGATGTCTCCTTTTGGAGCTGAGAAAATTTGATTGAAGTTTCAATTATTCTTTTACTTTTTTTTTTTTTTCCCCCGTGGCAATAAACCTTCACATCAAGTTTGTGCACTTGTATTTCCACTTCTCTGAAGATATCCACAGACCTTCTTTTAAGCAAGGTGTTCAGCATGTCAGGCAGGTTAGGATTAACCCTATTTTTCAGTATAAGTACTCCTTTTTTTATTCTCCAACCTGCACACTATGGGAAGCTGAGAACTTGTCACTCTTCATCATCTCTTTAAAAAATTATTTAAGCATCTCCTACCCCACCCATTCCCAGTCCAGGGCTCCAGTCCCTCTGTGGAAGGGCAGAGCAATGCCCCGAACAGATCACAGGTGTGGTCCAAACACAGGGGCTGAGTGTGTGAGTGCAATTAAATAGGAAGAGCAATGGTGATGGGCAGGAGATGCCACGACTGCCTTGGTGAGCCCTGATCTCTCCGACCCTCAGACCAGTGTAGGCAGGCACAAGCCCTGGATTTATATTTTATTCATTTTTTTATCTTAAGGAGAGGGAGAACACCTAGCAGTCCCAGACTGTTAGGTTATTTGGTAGTAGGGACTTTCTGATGCCAGCACACAGCCTGTGCCACAGGGATGTGAAGAAAGGCAACACACAGAGTGGTGCCCAGGAGACCCAGCGGCAGAGCAGCTCATGTCCACTCCCCACCAGAGTGAAGTACCAGTCATCGCAGTGGGACACAGAGTGCACAAGCCCTAAAGGGGCTGGATATTGGGGGAAGGATAAAGAAAGGGCAAAAGAAGCAAATCTGTAGCTTCCCCAGGAAGAAAACTGCACAGGAAACTTTGCTGGGACAAGCTACCATGCAAAAGTACCTTGAAGCATAAGAGAAGTACAGAGATGAGCAGTCGCCCAGGAACTCTGTCTGCAAACAGCCTCTGCCTGTTCCCACAGTTAGGTGTCCCAGCTGCTTATTTTGCCCCCGTTTTTGATTCTCATCTCCGTTAACAGTCTGTTGGCTAAGGTGCTCTGTGTTTGTTAGTACTATGAAGGTCTTCTGCTCTGTGGACTTTTTGCAGTATCTGCAAGTGGAACCCATCTGGATTCACTTCACTTTGACGTAGTTGGGAGCTGTATTTCATTAACGACTAGTACCCTTCTCCATCACACTTGTAGGCTGGATTAAGGCCTTCTTTGGAGTGGAAGTGGTTCACTGCAAAAGATTCGGTTACCTTAAAATACAAGTCTGCCAGAGGTATGTCGCAAACTGAACTTTTTAGTTCTCTTAGTAACACAGCTTTCTCTCTTTAGTAGCACAGCTTGCTACATCATGCAGTTGCTGAAAAAAGCCACAATGATGCTGATATGAACAAGAGCTGCCCACGTTTAACACGTAGACAGCAATAATGGCATTGAACATGCTAGCATCAACCAAGGGCACTAGAAAGAGAAAAGGAGCAATGCCTGATTAGCAATATTACTATATTAAGGAAGAGACGGAGAAAAATCCCATGAAGAGCAGAAGTATGGGAGGGTTTCATGCAGTTACCAGCACTGTTTCTACCCTTCTGCTTCATCCATCCCATCTGCCCCTGTGAAGTGCAGGAAAAATCCCAAATTCCCACAGGACAACCCCGTACAGCAGGCAAAGTGCCAGCTTCGTCCTTGACACAATTATCCAGCATGCGCTGTTCAAAACACCCACCCTCTATGGGACACGCAGAGATGCTGGATCTAATTTTGCCTTTACAAGTTCATCAGGGCAGGAAGGTACCCCTGCACCGCTCCTGAGATACGAGTGGGATAACAGCACTGAAACACTTGGATAACAGCACTAAACACTTGGAGCTGCTGCCATGCAGGGGCCCTCAGGGAGTGAGGGAGCAGCTCGGGTTAAACATCTCTGTGTATGAGGCTTGCACAGGAACTGGAGTTGTGTTCCTCCAGAGCTGCCAACCTGCTTCAGAGGAAGGCCACTGCTGTGGCTGCTGAGGAGCCGTGCCCTGTCCCTCACCCCATGGAGTCAAGGCTCCTTCTGCTGCAGGACCACTGGGATCCAGCCTGAGGACCCATGTCCCCTATCAACGGTCTGGCCTCAGGATGCAGGCCAAAGAGGTGGTGGCAGCACTGTGCCCACGGATGCTGCTGCCCCACTGCTCTGCTGCCCTCTGCTACCCCTTACATCACCTGCACCGACCCTCCTTCTAACCCTTGAACATGAGCTGCATCTACAAGCCCTGACCACAAGCAGGCTGAGTAAGCTGGCCTTGCAGCTCCAGACTGAAACTGTGCCAGGTTTGTCGCATTTAATTTAATCCTTCTTGGCTTGTTAACAGAAACCTGGGGTCATGAAATCCAGTCCCCCATGTGCATAACAAGAAGATTGCCCAGCTTGCCCAACATCCCCGCCCAGATCCATCTTCATGGCAGTTTGGACTTTTGCCCTCACTGCTGGCATTAAACAGCTGTTCCCAAAGTTGCTACATTAATGGTTGCCACCATTGTTTAATTTGTAGTCAAATCCTTTCACATCCTATTTAAACCCATTTGTTCCTTTGCCAGGATAATTTAAATACCCTCCCTGGAATTCACATTCTCCCCTGAGGCTCACTTACCAAGAGCAGTCATGCTGCTTTTCAGCTTCCTTTTGGCTGACAGAAGCTGCCAAGTCTCTGTTCCTGTGTTTGTCCTAAGCAATCCCCCACTTTTTTCCGGTTTGTTTTTGACAATGAGGACACAGATCTCTCCATTGAGGTAACATCCAGCACACCCTGCAGATGCCAGCCCTCAGCCTCGACCAGACAAGGTTGCTTTTTTGGCTCTTTCATGTGCCCGGTGCTGTACTCCCACAGCAGCAGCACAGTGGGGTTTGGAGATCCAGCATCCTCGGCCACACCATATCCCGAGCTGCTCGCCCAACCTCCTCTGCATCAAGCTGCTCCAAAGCAAAAATGTGGAAACTGTCCATCTCACCACCTTTTTTCCTTGCTATGTAACTATATATTCCTCCAAACAAATAAGGTTTGCTATCAGAAGCTGGATAACAACAGCCAAAGAGAGCCTGGTAAATAGGAAACCATATAGACAGTGGCATTCTGTGGCAGCATTGCAGACCCTGAACAAGTCACCATTACTGACTAAGAAATGGCCATTTAACCTGATATTGCACACCCCTTCCCTTGTCCCTGTTATGAAGAAGCAACATCTCATTCATTCATTCATCTCACTTACCTTCTGCCTTGACAACAAGTTGAATAGTTGCAGCCTTTGTCCCATACGGGTAAGTAGCAAAACTGCACTCGTACTTCCCGTTAAGGGAGAGGGTAACATTTTTCAGATACAGAGTCCACTGATTGCACTCAAATGTGGCGTTTGGATTGGGGGAACAGAAAGCCTCTGCAGCATTCCAGTCACAGCAATTTCTCGTGCTGAAGGACACCGAAAAGCTGTAGGAAGCTCCAGGAATTTCGAAGTAATGGGTGCCATAAGCAGGGTGATAAACAGCTATTTTGTTCAGCTGGTTGTCATCAGTCTTGGACCACTGTGTCTGTATAATGTGGGCGGTGTGTGGTTTTGGGAAGGTACAAGTCAGGGTCACATCAGTACCCGGCAAAGCGTGGACCACTTCTGTTTGTTTAACGACGTCCGGAGCCTGGCCTTGAAAACAAAAACAGGACTATTTTCAGTGCAAGTAATGTTTAAACAAAGCTTTCTCCAAAGCCATCTTTGACATGCTTTGGTGCCTTAACCACAAGTCAACCACAAAGACTGGACAACTGTGCCAACAGGCTTTCCAGTGAGGAACTTTACAGCAGACCTCCACCAGTACAACCTGCAGATAGAGAACCAGCAGAGAAAAGAGACACTCGTCTGGAAGAGGGTGGGGAGCTCCCATCACGCTCATGGGAGAGAAATGGGATCTCTGAGGGCCTCTGTGAAAATGGAAATCTTTCAAATGATATAAATAAAGCAGAAGCTGGGCCCACTTATCCCCTAGCTCTATTTGCAAGAACAAATGAGTTTTATGGCTGCTGGCTAATTCTGCCCCACACCGTTCCCCCCGCCCACTGACACTGCCTTGGCTGCTTCAACAGAGAAAGCTGTTCTTTTACCTCCACGTTATTAAACGGCTCCTGCATGGCCTAAACGAATGCCCATTTCAGTGTCAGAGCCCTGTAAGTGTGGTTTCTTCCTCAATTAATTTCATAAAACATGTTGGTAGTCCTCAGAGTGCCGTATAAAGCAGTAATGGACCGATGAAGTGAAGGGGCTTTCAACATGAACCTTTACTACTTGGCTTTGCTGCTGCTATAGTAAAATTTATTTCTCTCCCTTTCTCCCTCCTATGAACAAGAGTCTCGCAGCCCCCAAACTCCTGTATGCAGGGCACTGACAAACTCAAGGAGACGAAGAATTTAAGGGCGGGGGAGTCGTAGTGAGACAAATAGACCGTCACTCCCACAGAGCCATACACAAAAAGGACCTTTTTCAAAAGGCACATGGAAAAAATGAATTTGCAAAAATGTTCTTAGTTACGGACCTATCACCTCCCATCTTCATTGCATTTTATCCTCCCTGTGCATCAAAACATCACATAGAGATTAGGATGGAGAACAAAGGTACTGAATGGCCATGGCCAGTGTTAATCTCTGTGTTTTATTGCTGTTCATGCTCCGTTCATCTTTTAATTGACTTCCAAGTGATGGCGTGACGTAAGAGGATAAATAAAAAAAAGCCTGAATGAGAAGTGCTGTGAGAAAAATTACCGAAAACTATTTTTGTCAGTCCAAGGAGCTTATTATAGCAAATGCTCACTGATTTCACTGCAAGTTTTACATCAGTAAAAATAAAAAGCAATTAGCTATCTTGTGATCAGACTAGCAGGCAAGGAACACCTAGCAACTTACCCCTCACATTCATACTGATGCTGTATTAGGTCAAAGGGCCATGTAAAGAATGCCCACTAAGTATTACTTAGTATTACTAAGTATTACTCGAGTATTTTATATTAGTATGAATACAATTCATATGTAGAAGCAACATTTTAATTTGTGCTGTTTATTAGTAGCCTAGGTTATTTTAGGTAACCTAAGTTTATTAGTTAGGTTATTTTAACTGAAACTCTTTCATGCAAAAGTATTCTTAACTTTTTCTTAGCATCTCAATATAATTAATCTCATTTTATGACAACTTTATTTTTCTAAATCAAATGCTGTCCATTAGCCCATATTTGTGCTCCATTTGAAATTTAATAGAATAACTCCAAGACATTTAGATGTCTGATCTCCACAAAAAGCATGGTGGTGTTCACTTATACCCTTGAGTGAAGTCAGTGAGGATTTTATCCTCAGGGGAAAAAAAACAAGTCCTATTTTTTCCTAAATAGTATTACTTCCTGCATGTGCATGTCTTAAGGCCTCTAGTTCTTTCTTTGCATCCGAGAACTTTTATCATCTATGAATACACATATGAAATACTTTCCTTCCTTTTAAAATCCAGTTTGCCCCAGTGGTATAGAAAATAGGAATAGCCTATGCCAGGTCTTGAGACTCATCTTACCATGCCAGTCAAATACATGATTTTTTTTTTTTTTTTTTCCCTTTCTTAACCAGAGAAAAGGTGTATCCTACAAAATTCTTCTTCCTACTAAGTACTCCTGCATTCGGCATGGTCAGCCTGTTGGGGAGGGGGGTTGTGAGCATCAGGCTTTTTCTTGGTTTTTCTCAATTCATTTTTGGTTTAAACTCCCTCTTATTCCATCTGATGGGGATGCGGTTCTCCTTACTCAACTTTTCTGAAAGTGTTACTCCTAATGACAAACTTGTTCCTCAAGATTTTAATGCAGCATGTAGTACTGGGTGGGAAAGAAGAAGGTAAGAATCTATTTAAGGGGTTGCAGCTGTACAATTTTTCCTTGCCTTTAAGTGTTTCAGCTCTTCCTTTCTCTTCATACACAGGTATGTGTGTGTGAAAGAGAGATACCTTTTTGCTCTTTGCCCATTGGGGATGGGCCCATGTTGCCATAAATACAAGTGTGCTCATCTCAGTGATTATTCTGGTGAAAACAGGTTAGTCATTTTGAATAAACTCATCTGCTAGTCAGCACAAGCCATTTTCTCCTTACTAGCTGCACATTATAACTATGATTATTAGAAAGTTTTCAGGAAACAAAAAATCATTAACTGTAGCTACAGCTTGCCCTAGTGAGACACCCCAACCTCCGTCTGTACATGCCACCCTGCTCCTCACCACCCTCCACCACAAACTGACTCAAGGCATCTGGCTGACACCCTTACCTGTAATGCTGGGCGCCGAGAGCAAACAAAAGAGGGAGAGGAGCCACCTTTTTTCCATCTTTGCTTCATGAAGTTTTGGTAAATACGTAGCTCTCTTGGCCTGCTCCTGGCAGTGTCTCAGAAAAGGAAGTCAAAATGTTCTACCCTGTGCAGACAAGCAGATGTGAAACACAGTCACGATCATCATTTCAGCGTGACTTCAAAGAAATGCTTCATTAAATGCAAAAGCCTCAGTTTCCTTCCGGAGCAATAAAATTAGTACCTCTTGTGAAACCTTTATGTTGAAAACACTACCCGTACTGCAAGCCCATGTTCAAAACTATTCTTTTTTTTTTGCTTTTGACTTTTCAGATAAGCTCAGAGAAAGCACTTTACTGGGTTAAACTCTCTTGAAAACTTGTCAGGTGTCTGAAATTGAATACCTGGTACATAGCATACAAAAAAGATGACTTTTTTTTCCCCCTGCTTCATTTCCTTCACATGTTATTCCAAAATAGCTCAAATACACTATTTCCAGAATCTCCACATTCACTATCTTTTAAGAAAACAGCAAGGTAACAAAACTAGTTCCCCTAAATGAAAATGCAATGAATTGAGAGTTTTCTAGATTAACTTTTTACATATTTTTTTCTGAGAAGCAGACCATTAATTATTTTCTGCAGGATGAAGAACCACAGTATCCCACATGACAACATCACTTGGTGTAGTTAACCTCCATACCTCACTCTGTTCAGCTGGTAGCTTTGGTGTTGGCATGTGGCTCCAGCCAGTCCTGTGACCCATCTTTATTGAAGGTCACCTGCAAATCCTTTTGAACTGCCCTTGAAACATATTGCATTTCCATAAACTAGGCATACACCTGTCAGCAAAGCATCTCATTGCAGACAGGTCTTATGCAAATTGGACCTGCTGCTGGCAGATTTTCAGAGATGACAAATTTGAGTTCTTGCTGTTCACAGTTCTTTCCCCAAAACTAAAAGAGCAGAGCAGGACCCCTCACATACACAATATGAGTGTATGTTACCTACTGGCTCTTCCTGGGATGGGATGGGACTTTGAAAGCCCAGCTGGGCAGGAGTGTGGTTGCCCCAGTAGCTCCCTCCCTGAGGGCCTGAGGACATCCTGCTCTTTGACTCCGGGGAAAGCTGATTACAGTCCATCCACCGGAGCAGAGAATGTGAGTGGCCGGGTGACATGGTCCCTTAAATGGACACCTCCCTCCACCAGCAGTGGTCTCCCTTGAGTGACTGCTCTGTCTTTGGTTGATCCAGGTCCTGACATTTTTTTCATGAAAGGATTCCTAGAGGGCCTGGGGGCCTTTGTCGGCCCCTTTATTTTGCGACCCCCCTCTCTGCAGCTCAGGCAAGGCCCATGGATGCTGCCAGCCACTGCCTGCAATTTTTTTCCCAACTGTTTTCCGTTTCTTCCCCAACTATTGACTTTTGCTAGCCATAGCTCCAATGAAGGCACAGAGTTCAAGGTAAAAAAGAAAGACCTCAATGGTCATTTCCCTATTTTATGCACCACCAGACTTCTCTACCACTTCCCTAATTCGTGCACGTGGAGTCTTTTGGTAGTGCATTTAAGTAAGCTAAAGTCTCCATCTGGAACAGGTGGTCATGCTGGCCAGGCTACAGTCAGGCCTCCAGACACATCTTGGAGGATAAGTGCTGCTGCACGTCTCCTTTTTTGTTTGCCTTGCTCCCTTACCTCAGGAAACTCACTAAAAAGTCATGTGAAATGCACAGGATGCCTGAGGTACTGCTAAGGGAATACTCTCTGGGGTTGAAATATCTGCTTGTCATTCAGAAGCCTGAAAGAGAAATGCCTGTCTCAGAGGATCAAGGGGTCCTGAAGTTGAGAATGAACAGAATATTCAAGCCAATGTAATTGACAGCCACAGAAGGGAGTAAAAATATTAAAGGTATACGTTCCCATTTCCAGTTCAGAGAAGAGACCACAAAGAACCTGGAGATTATCTGCAAAGGCTGAAGTTCAAGAAAATCGGACTTCAGTCTAGAATTTGGGCTTTCATTCATGAGTGCAGTTACCTTAGCTTCTCCTGCTGATCCGCTTGGGGAAGCTTTGTACCATGAGAGAATGTATATTTTTTTTTCACATTACACAAAATATCTCAAATGAGCCTCTTTATTGATCTGAAACATCCATCGCAATTCACCAAGACAGCCCAAGTGCTGTGTGATATATTCAATAGCCACAGAAATCCCTGAGTAGCTTGTTTGAGTAACTAGATCTCTATATCTCTGTGTTTCCCACCCCCCAAAATAATCTTCAAAATATACTGCTGCCATGTGGCATTGTGTTGGCTGAATGCAGCCACCCAGCGTTGTTGCTGTGCTTACTGATGAAAGACAGACAAAAAAGAAACCTGCCAGCTCAATGGATTTTTTGTTCACTTCAGAGCTATGTTTTGCTCCAATTCCTACCTTAAGCCCAAAGTCTGAAAAAAATGTCATTCGCCCTCCTGCTGACATTGATGTGTGTGAACAGCTAAGCCCTGCCTCTGCATAGGGCATCAAAAACCACTTCTGAGACGTGCCACTTATCTCAGCCTACTCTTCCCTGGAGCTGGACACGAGGTCCTGCTCACAGCAGCGCAGATTATTACAAGAGATTCCTCCCCTGCCACCCCCTTCCCAAAAAGTTACTCACTGTCAGCTTGGTAGGTGCTGTGGTGGAATGTTACACTCCAGGATGGCAGGGATAAGAGGAGGTAGTGACACATGCCCTCAGCAGGAGAGAGGACACATCTGTAATGGGCTTTTTCTTGTTGTAGCAGCTGTAGGGGTGTTTCTCTCGGAGTTGGGATGCACAGGGTTTTCCATCATGCTACACGTCCCTTTCCAGAGAGTCCCACAAACCACTGCAAGGCTGGGAGGTTTTAAAGGAAAAGAAGCAAGACACATATGTTTTCAGGAGATATGTGAACTGCAACATTCCCTTTTGGGCTGGACAAGCAGCTGGCCTGACCGGTCCTACCCAGTGTCCCGGGCACTGTCAGGAGCCGGTGGACTCTGAGCATCACCCAGGCTGGAGCCCTAGTGGGGCTCTGCCCCCTGCTCAAGAATGCCTCGCCTACCTCATGTGACATTAATTTTTTTCCCCTTGGGTGGCAGTGGGGGTTCATCTAATTATTTTCTGCAGATCTGTTCGCCACTGGAGGAGGCATTTTTGAACACTACAAATGACTCTTTCTGCGGCAATCACCCCTATTACGCGCCATGCTCACAAAACCCTGGGCTGCAATACAATTCCTCTGCCTCAATTACAGTAAGCTGCACCAAAGGAAAAAGCAGAACTGCAGTCAGTCCCACAGAAAAAGAAATCTTGAACTCCAGAGACAAATTCAATTATTCACAAAGAGAGCCTTTTCAGAAATGCTAGTGAGCGAGCTCTTCCTGCCAGAGGCGAGGATGATTACCCTTGCAGACTGGTGTCCTCTAAACATTGCTTAAAGAAAGTGCTGCTCGCCAGTGAAAAAGAGATGGAGACTTTGAAGAAGGGATTACATTAAAGAGTAAACTAACCTTTCAGGTTTGCTTGGCACAGAAACTCCCACTTTGTCATTGTGTTTTGAACTCCTTTGAAAACCATACTAATGACTCTGCAGCCAGCAGGCAACTTTGGCCCCGGCATCTCAGGGAGGTGGGTGGCAGGGGCTGGGAGTGCAGTGTGGCAGGGGACAGGGCACTGAGGGGGCGGTGGGATCCCCACTGGGCTTTTTCAGCCACCCTTTGCTTCCTCCGTCTCCCTTCCCATCCTTAGCTCTCCTGCTTCTCATCTGCTTGCAGCATTGTCTCCTCTGCATGAGGAGCAGAGGGGAAAGGTGTCTCACCCCCTACTTTACTCTCTTCCTCCTCCCTCATGGCTACATGTGCAGCATGCTGTGTTTGACATAGTGCAGCCCTGATTTCAGCCAAAGTGCTAAAGCAGTATGGCAAGGTGTACACACTTCCCTCTCAACCACAATTTTTCCATCTGAAAGATGCGTATGTTTGGGGATAAATCGAAGAGAATCAGCTCCCTCACCTCTGCATTCCAGCCAGAGGTCCCTGTGTGGTCCTCTGCTCCCATCTGATGCCACTTCTGATCAATGATGGTCTGTCATTGTAAGCTGTTGAACTCAGCATTGTGTAAATACTCTGCTTGAGAAAGGGCTTTTCATAAATGCAGCTTGTGGGGCTTTATCTTGAGGTCTGCATGAAAGAAGGAGTTATCAAGACAAGCAATAGACCACTTGATTAGAAAGGAAAAGCTTATGTTCACATCCAAAGAAGTGCTGTTAACCTAGATGGGTTGTACAGCTCATTTTACTGTGCAGACCATCTCTAATGGATTTTTGTTCCCTATTAAATTAAATTCCTCCATATTATTGTATGCAAATACCATCTTGCAGACACACAGCCACCTGGCCAGAGCTCAACATAGCAGACTGGTTAGTGTTCCCCTCTAAAGAAATACATCAAATAGAAAAGATTAAAGGTGTGAAAGTTAACTTCAGATACAGTAGCAGTGGCAATTTGAGGGCAGCAACTGCCTTTTTATTATAAAAAAATCAAATAACTTACAGCAATAAAAGGCCAAGTTGCACTGACATTGAGATCCATAACTTGGATATTTTTTTGACAGAATACTTTGAGAACATCAGACGTTAATGAGTTTGTTTGTACACGGTGACTTTGTAGCCCTATAAATACCTTTCATGCTATCAGCATGTCAGAAGCAGCCACGGGAAAGTGAGATATCTCTCCCATCACATCCATCATCTATTAAATCGTCCACTACACCTTAATGCTGTGTCTCTTCAGAGAAGGTGGTGAAGTACAAATGAGAAAAGCAAAGCAGAGGTTGTTTTTCATGTTGAGCCTTACTCTGTAGAGAAGAAACTATACCTTGGTGGAGCCTGTGTCTGGAGTTCCAAGGTGCTTTAGCCTGGAGCCTCACAGAGCAGGACACCTCAGCCACGTCCTGGAGAGAGGGGTGTGTGTGTTACCTCCAGAAGGCAAATTCAGAGCTGAATGCACCTTATATGAGGGCAGCATAGGGCAAGTGCATTCCTAAATCTGGGTATCTCAATAGAGTTAACA